CGATTGATTGCTTGTGTTTTGTGTGCACGTTGTGATCCTTGGGTACTGTGCAAGTGTGTTCAGTGCGGAAACGAGTGGTGGCGCCGCGCCACACGCTCGAATCGTTGGTGTGGGCAGTGTTTTGAGAAACAGCTTGCAATACCCAGACTCTTGCTTGTTGCAGGGCACGAACTACTTGGTGACTATCGGTATTTCCGTTGCCAAGCTGACTGGGTTACGTCAGTAACTAGGCAAGCTGACTTAATATTGGTATGCGGTCTTGAGTGCAGCAAGACCAACTTAGTGCCAGTTATCTGGTCTGTTTCAAAGGAGGACTGGGAGCAGACAAAAGAAAAGTGTCGTAAGTGCTTTGCTTGGAAGCAGAAAAGGAGAGGTAGACGAGAGTTGTGTTAAGGTTGTGTTTTGACAATAGAGACTTAGCAACATGTTGTTAGTAATCTTAGTCAGTGCCATTGTAGCAGAGGCAACTGCGGTACCTCAACTGCCTTTTGATCCCAGGGAAAACGTATAGGTGACGCTTAGTAGAGCCATAAATACTACCACCTTTTGTGCCAGCTTATCTACCCCCAGTACCCCTTTTATTACCTGTCTAATAGGGGTCCCGGTCAATGATACAGATAACTACCTGTTGAATGCTACTATATGCGACTTTAAGAAACAGTGGTGCCACAAATTCGACAGAAATGAAACGCACCCCGCGCCAGGCACCCTCCATCCAAGGAGGCTGCCCGCTGGGCTCTTCCTCATATGTGGCAATCGAGCCTGGAATGGGATACCCGCCTCTCCCGTGGGGGGCCCTTGTACAATAGGGCGCCTGAGTCTCGCCCTCCCACATCACCATCTCAAAAGGGCACACCCCATAAGGCGACGCCGGGAGGTCAGCCAAGTTTTAGAGAACACCTGTGACGACAATGTCCAACTCTGGAGCAAGTGGGAGACCATTTTTGCCTCCTTTTTCACACCGGGCGTAGCTGCGGCCCGGGCACATCGAAACCTAGAAACCCTCTCATGTTGGGTGGTCAAGCAGGCAAGGTACTATCTGACATAGCTACAGATTTGGACAATGTTCAACATGCAGTGTTGCAAAATCGCATGGCCATTGACTTTTTGCTTTTGGCACACGGACATGGCTGTGAAGATTTTGATGGTATGTGTTGCATGGATTTAGAAGATAACTCCAACTCCATACATAAAGAAATTAAACAACTAATGGAGCATTCACAGAAAATACAAAAGGATGTTGGGTTCTTTGGCCTGGAAGGTCTAACCAATTGGTTGGGATTGGGGGGATGGCTCAAAGGGATCATACAAAGTCTATTGTTGATAATAATACTCGTTATAGTAGGGCTTGTTATGTTTAGTTGTGCAACATCATGTATTAAGCGAATAATAATGCAAGCTACGCACGACGTTTGGGTAGCGCAAAATAAAAACGGGGGAATTGTGGAGGAATGGCTAGCAGAGCAAGGACATGTTAACGTAGAAATGATAACTCAGCAGGATCTCAAAAAGTATCGAAAACAACTAGTTTAGGAGCCAATCAGGGACAAGGACAGACTGTCCTTGTTTACAAGGATAAGTCATGAAACCAGGAACCTGTGGCCACAAAGTATGCAGAGAAACCACTAAAGCAGGACATCCAGACGGAGCTTGGCCGTTAAGATACTAGCCAATAAGGAGCTTAGCCTTTGCAATATGTATGAGCTTGTTAAGACTGTTATAAATTGTGTATCCGAATGGCAATAAACGAAGTTTGCTGATCACTCATATTGAGCGACTGCTTCTTCCCTCCGTTTCGGCGAATGGCACGACATTTGCATATCATGAAGCTTATTTTGGTTACTAAACAGGAACTCTCCCTGGTGTTTGTGTATTTTGGGTTTATCTACCTTTGAGCATTTCTGATTTAACTCTGCTGGTATAGCGATGCCTCACACAAGATCCTAGGGATTTGGGGGCAAGGAAATGTGAAAAAGAGACAAACCCCTTGTTCATCTGCTTCTATGAACATACGAAATGTCTTTTTGTACGTGGAGGGGCAAACAAGCACGGCGAAGACCTGCAAGTACTTGAGCTAGTCGGGAAGCATAGTACAAGTGGCTCAGACGGATGTTGGCGAGAGGTAAAGCATATTTTAAAAACTTGAAAGTGTAAAATGGAAGCAGAAGGGCCGAGGTGCACCCTGCACAGCTTGCGGGGGCCGCGGCAGTGGCCCTGCCTGGGCAGGTGTCTGTCTCGCCACAGAGCGACTGGCCACCATGCCCTGGGGACCTTCGCCTCGCCCCAGCTACGATGGTGGCTCTGATGCGGGCGCAGCATAGGGACTGGTTCCCTTCCAGCTGTTACCAGCAATAACGGCTTCTGTAAAGAGGTGGGTTACATCATTGAACTGAACACGGGCAGCAGGAGATGACGCAGACCTGAACCATCATTGTGTTGCAGAGGAGCAAAGCCCCTGTAACCACAGCAAACACAAAGCTGCTTGGAAACCAGCAGGTGCCTTGGAATACACGTAAGAGCCCTGTTACCGCCGCTCTCCTGTGGCGCGCCCCCTTCA